TCATAAGGCGCACCATGATAAACCCCAGCTGACGAAGTAGAATTGCAGAGTCCTACACCGGCATCTCTTTTATCTCCTCGACTGTTGTTGAGCTAGCGAGGTCTTCTTCCTCTATTTCTGCTAGGACAGCTCTGAGACAGGTTGCAAAAGTTGATAGCTTTTTCTTCGGGAATTTTAGCCACTTTGACTTGTCAGGCAGGCACTTATTGTCCCGCCCCTGGTGTCCAGTGTGTCCACACCGGAAACATCGCTTTTCTCTTTTGAGATGATCGATGTCCATAGGTTCACCTTCACCACCGTAGGTGAATCCAGTGGCATCCCTTTTGCCCTTCGAGCCACTTGAAGGGCCCTCCCGCTGTTCCAGGCTTGGAACCAGCGGTCCCGCTGGGATACTTCCTGCCTTGTGCGAGATGAACTCGGTAGTTCTCGTCCATTTGTAGGACCCTGCACCTCCACTCCCAGTAGGTGGTAGGCCGCATATTATCTCCGCCCATAATGATCTCCTTGATCCTGGGTCGGATTGCGAGGGCGACGACTTCCTCCATTTCCACATCATTGTCAAAGCGTTCTGCTTCCACGGCCAGCTGTTCGAACCTTTCAAAGAATTCGATGGCCGTTTTTAAACTGCATTTGTTGCAGTTTCTTCCACTGCATCCGTTTGATTTGGACCTCTGCTACTTCTCGGAAACATGTTCGGACGTTTTCCTGAAAGGTCTCCCAAGTGGGAAGGCAATGTCTTCCACTGTGGGGGTCCTTGTAGTGTCGTTGCTGATGGACCCACCAGGTCATCGCTTCTCCACCAAGTCGGTGGCCTGCAAAGACTACTCGACTCGGGCCATACCCATAGGCTTCATTAAGCGTGAAGTATTGGGCGAAGACCTCGAAGTAGTATTTGCAGTGGCTGAAGAAGCGATCCAAATCGCTAGCCTTCCCATAGAATTTGTCAGGGACCTCTATTAATGTCGGCTTCACGTTTCTCCAGGGGTTAGCTTGTCTGTCGGGAATAACCCATCCACCTGGTGGGTCAGGTGGTAAAGGGGGATTGGTAGGTCACGGTAGTGACCTGAGATTTTGGTCACTACAGGGCGACGGTGGTTGTGCTGGAGGTCGAGGTGGCATCGGTGGAGGTCCTCCTCCACCTCCTCCTGGTCCTCCTGGGCCACCGCCGCCTCCTCCAGGAGCAGCAGGCGCTGGTCCACTTGCTTTTCCCGTTGGCGCTGACTGGGAGGCTTCTCCCGCCATGCTATGGGCATGGAAGGTGCCTCCTGCTGCTTCCAGTCCTAAGGCGCTGGAAGGTGCCCAAGTAATGTCCGGAATGGGGTTTTCCGGACCTACGATTCCCAGGTTAGGGAATGATTCCTCTCCAGAGCGCCTCCCTGGTGCTATAGGCTGGTCGGGATGTACTTTGTTCCAATCGATAGTGGCATGATACCACGTTTCGGTATGCAGTACCTTGTCCTCTAGTTTGGAACCTAGCTCTGCAGTGTTATATGCTTGTCCTTGGTCAGATGCGGTCCAATTTACATTGTACCGTAGTCGTCGGCTAGTCCATTCTAACATCTGCTGCCATGTTAGATCATATATTTGTCAATCCGTGAGCTCCTGTGCTGGAGCCCTGGATGAACTCGGGTGGGTCATAGGAGGGGCTTCTACTGGGGGGACGACTGGCTCCATTGTCCTCAAGTCGCTGGTCGATGACCATTCCGGCTCGGGTCCAGGGGTCCGACCTGTTGTCATGGTCGGGTGGAAAACCGATGATCTGGTATCGGGAGAATATCCCGTATTCTGCATCCCAGTCATCGTTCCAGTCCCATATGCCCCTGCAGTATCGGTAGTACTCATCCCAGATCTCCAAGGCATCTTCACATCCCCAGATCCAGGGCCATAGGCCTCGGAGTGGGAGAAAGCCGTAGTATCCATCAGGTAGGAACCCTCCTTCTGGGGCAAGGAAGGGTTCGAGCTTGATTGGGGGTTCTGCTCCCTCATACTCGTCGGCGGCCAAGGTCCTGAGATGTCGGCAGATGGAACAATTGCAGTAGGGGTACGGATGGGGGGTCTGGTCAAGCTCCCTCAGGACACGGTTCAGGAGGATGATAGGGTCCGGAAAGGGTTGGTCTCCAGCAAACCAGTCGAGGATTCTGTCTCCCTCAGGGGTATCTCCTGGGAAGATAACCCACTGTCCCTGACCGATCGGGGATCCTGGGTGGGTGTAGTACTCTGGGAGCTCTTCATTATTACTGTCGGAGTACTCGGTGAATACGATATCCTCGGCTCGTCTGAGTATGACGTCGTTGGGTCCGTCTTCGACGGCATCGTTAGTGGAGGTTTCTGAGATGTGGGCAAATCGTGGCTCTGTGAAATCTCTGAGGTTGGCGATGGTGATAATTGTTCGGGGTAGGGTTTCGGACTCGGGACGTGGGGAAGGCCAAACAAAGTCTGACTCATGGACGGACTTGTCGTCCCACCAGGACGGGGGTCCTTCGACTCTGTAGGTTCCGTCGGGGGTGTATGACATGAGAGAGGTTGGAGTGTCATACCACTCCAGCTCGGGAGATTCATCTCTTTGATGTCCTCCTGTGTCGGGTATTCCCCATATTTCCCCTCGTTCCCGGGCAGGGAGGAATGGGTTTTCACCCTCTTCGAAGGTGGTTCTTCACCTGGTTCGTCCATGGACAATTCGATCGAATACGTCGCGGTAGAACCCACTTGTTCCTCTCTGGTAGAGGCGCTCTCCATCGTCGTCGAACCCTGGGACGGCTGCAGATAGCTCTGTGGAGGCGATGGATGGCTCCTTGGAGTCATTGTCATTGCCCCATGTCGCGTCGTCCCAGGATCCGTCCGCGTTGGTCCAGTACTCGGCGGTAAATCTGGGGTCGACTCGGTCGTCTCCATTGTCTGGAGGGATGCCGAGTCATCCAAGCTCTTCTTCCCGAAGGGATTCTTCGCCTTCACCGTCTCGGTGATCCTCTCCCTGAAGCTCGAGCGTGGGGGGTTGCTCTTCTCTGTCAGGTAAGGGGTGTCGAAGTGCGTCTCGCTCCCCCCTTGGCTGTGGCGTGAGGGATCGGAGCCGGACGGTGCTTGTTGTTCGTGAGGTTCCTGTTGATGAGCCATTGAGTCCATGTACTCTCCCTCTTCCGGGGGTCGGTGCTCTTTGGCGGCGGGTTGGTCGGGAAAAATGGATAACTGTGACTGCAGTTAGTAGTATCAAGGTACTGAAGGTACTTCTGAAGATGATGGCAGTGCGGTCTGAGGGGGTGAGGGGCATAGAGTCCGTTGTACCACAACGAGTGTCTATGATCTCGAGGTACAATGGGTGCCATTTTAAATAACAGGCTGAGGGTTTCTTTCTTTGGAAGTATAGCAGTGACTGCCTTGAGGTGGTACAGTTACTGTTGATATTGGTAAGGGTAGTAAGGGCAAGCTTCGGCTAATTGTTAAGCACTAACTCAAACCTTCACCAAGGCTGATCTCTATCCTGTCACTCACATTCGGTGATTCAGTGTTAGAGAGGCGTTTGGTAGATTGCGAGAAGTTAGGCGTCACTTTATAGCAAAAGCAAGGAGCTCGTAAGAGTTAGGAGTGTATAACCTTAGCCGAAGCTGGGGTCTAAGGCCACAGCGTAGGCTAGCTTAAATACATGTTAGACTCGTACTAAGAATAGTGTCTACAGAGGCGCGTGCAAATGAGAAGTGCATTCTACAACGAATGAGGAGGGAGGACACTAAAAGAAGTGTACTCCTGACAAATGAGAGTAAAGAGCGCATATCACCTGCATCCGCATGGGACTTTGACTGAATAGGCTGCATATCACCTGCATCCATGCGGGACTCCGTCTGAATGGGCTTCATCCTGCAGACCACCCTCAACTGGCGGTCGACTCTCGCCCAACTACTAGGAAGCGTGATGCCATCAAGAGAAGCATGATGGCGCATGCGGGTCGTCAGTCATCTGGATGCGGCAGCTGTGAACTGGGGTGACGGCAGCCGGGTAAACGGGTAGAGGGTGTGCCGGCGGAATATCATGGGTCTGAGAGATAAGATAGGTAGGTCCGGGGTTCCGAGAGATAAGGATAAGATAAGATAAGAAAAATAGGGGTAAAACCATAATACCCAGGATCATTCAGTGATAAGCCCAGTTTTGGCGAACCTAGCTCTAAGCTCGCTTCAGACAGGCCGGCTCACCACTGGGTTGAAGTGGGGTGCATTCCGAACACTTGATTCCGGTTGCGAGCCACACTAATCCAGGGGACACCCATCGCCCTTTCCCTGTATTGGCACGTATTACACCACTGGCTTTCATTCTCATCGGTATAACAGATATGTATGAGCAGAAACATGATATATTGCATCGAAAATATATGAACATGATATCAACAAATGAGAGCTGTTCAAATGTGAGGACAAACACGAGTTCACTGACAAACAATCAGTCAATCAGATGATAGCATGCGAAGCCCATGCAACATACCCACAACACCCTCCCGCAGTATACACTGGCTCAACCTCTTTGCACTTGTGAAGCCCTGTCCCTGTTTCCTGCTAACCGAGTCGGAACTTGAATGATGCTAGACAACCTGACTTGATGAAGAGTAAAATCAGTAAAATCCTCAGAGCACAATGGCTGCTTACAGAGACAATACTTAAACCAAGATCAGGAGAAAGCACAAGAGACATGAGAGAGAGAGACAGCACAACACAGAACAAGAAAGACAGCACAACACAGAATCAGAGGCACAAGACCGAAGGAAGCACAATATTCCACCGCAGATCAAGTGCCAGAGGACCATTGAAGTATAGAAACTGTTGATCTCACTTGAGATCATCCTCAGGGTGAAGGCAGAGTGACACATTGAGAATGAGAGAATACGGGCAAAGTGGATGGTCATGGTGTGCGTTTAACTGCGAAACATCCCAGTTCAACATCACATGACCAAATCATGTGATCCCTTGACTTCAGAGCAGAAAAGCACGTCGCACCGTTGCAGTCAAGTCGCAGTATCATCAAACTATGTCTATTGCTTTAAAGACATTATAACAGGACTGTAGATAGTAAAAATGGTAATTTAGAAAACATATTTATCTAATAAATAGCTGTTAAAACACTCGCAACGGTGCTTGCTTGACCACCGGCAGCACGAGGCATGGAGGATGGAAGCGGAATACTCACAGCTGTAGCACTGTGAGCAACAGCCGTACTTCCTGGACTTTGGGAACTGCCAGTGCTAGGCCCACTAAATACTGCTGCTGAGGTCACCATCTGGAGCTGAATCGGTTCAATGCTATCCGAAACCTTGGGATGGCCATACTTCTTGAAGTCATGATTCACAAGAGTCGTAAGGAATCTAAGGGATAACACATAAGAATTAGGATACAATCCTAGTTTGTAAAAATAGGCTTACTGTTTCCAGTTATTATTATGAAGATCATCACCAAATTCCTTGAGTTTCTGTACGAAAACAGCATCGACGGCTTCCCAAAAATGCAGGTCCTTATCACTGGCTGATGCTGTACCTACACCCGACACCTCCGAATCTGCACTGTCCGTCCGAGCTCGTTTCTGGGGTTGTCCACCATGATCTTTGTCGTTTTCTTTGTCATCATCTGACCATGGAAGCAATGATGGAACACCAGCAGATCTACCATTGTAGAACTCATTAGCAATGGCATGCTGTGATGAGCCCAGTAAGAGATGAGTACATGCAGTGGTATCAAAGAGACATACCAAGAGACAAACATGAAGTTGGTAATCTGCCTTTAACTTGTTTCCTGGACCACCCTTTTTAAACTTTTCCACAATGACATACGCAACTTTATCTAGCGACATCAATGTTCCATCTGGTTTGGTTGATCTGAAAAGCTGTATAGACACTACTGAGTCAGACACAAATGAGAATGATCAGACAATGTACAATGACCCGATATTGGTTACGAACACTTGAGGACTTGTCCGTCATTACTGTTTTGATTGCTTGAGTTTTGACGTCTGATTTGAAGATATGCAGTAGATCTAAGCTCTCTGCCTTCTTGCGCAGGATAGCCTGAAGACAATGAGTGTTATGGAGCAATGTCAATTCAAATCAAGTATGCACACCTCAACGTCTAGATGAATATCCATATAGCTTGTACGGTCAGCTTGGAAGATAGTATCCTTCATGAACGTAATCACAGTATTCTATACAAAGTAGTAATGAGTATAATTGGCATAGTTTGTGAGAGATTGAAAGATGCACCACTTCCTCCTTTGTGAGAGAGTATTTTGCACCAAGACGCTTCTGTGTGTCTTCTAGCACCGTCTGAAACTGAGTATAATCAACCTTCTGGGCTGCGACAGTGTTAAATGTCTGATAGAGTGCCGCCTGTTGAAAAATCCGGATCTGGATATCACCAGGCTGCAGGCAAAGAGCACCGAACTAGATATAGTGAGAGATGTTAGCACATGTAAATATCATGTGGTAAAGAACATACATCAACGATTCCACGAAGATCTTGGAGCTGCTTCTGGGTTAGACCGAACTTGTTACTAACCATGTCGCACCAGGTCTTCAAAAGCCTGACGCAATCAGCAGATAAAGACGCATCAATAGTTGGACCACGGTCTAAAGAATGATGCATATGACTCCCATCGGAAGGTGTAGGTCCATGACTTTGGACATCACGAGACAAAGCTGAGGTTTCGTGTCCATGTGTGTTCACATTGGTCAAATATGGGGTATTCTGTTCTGTATATTTGTCAGCAGGCTGACATGGAAAATGCGTCATGAGATCATCATCAAGCCCATCGGAACTGTTGCTGTCACCGTAAAGGTCGTCGTAATGTGGGATCAACCCATGTTGGCCCCGTAAGGTCATCAGGGGAGAAGGTGTTGTGGGAGAGGTGGAAATGTACAGGTCAGACATGATAGTCAAGGAAAGAGGGGGAAGCGGTATACGGAACTGCTTTATAAGAGAGGGATGTTTGGTTAGCCAAATAACGCGTCGGTGGCCAATGCAATTGTCAAATGATTTTGCTGTGGTCAGATAAGACATCTGCCTCCGTTGTGACTGAGCGCGTTCGTGACAGCTTATCCAAGCACGGAGGCAAAATGGTGGGCTGCAATGGCTCGAAGACCCATTGCAGTGGGTGTTTCTCGTGAGGCTCTCTTAGCGGAGGTTCGCTTTTGTTTTGTGCTGCTGCTGCTCTGAGCCACCGCTGTCTTCTGTGCTTCATGCTCAGCAACAGCACCTAGCTGTATGGCAGTCTGTCGATCAAGTACAGGCAGTGGTATGCACAAGGATTGGATATGAAGATTATTGTGCATCTGTAGCGAGTTGAGAATGAAGTCATTAGGCCTATAGTGATGTATGCATGGTCGGGTTTTCATTGTCTTCTCCCGTTCCTGCATGACAATCTCTGTATCGGAAGCATCACATTTATTGGCATGGCAGTTGTGTTGTACGTTGACCACACATTGGATTGACTGGAAATTTGTGAATGAGAAATGGATATGTATGACAAATCCAGACAACATACATTGGCTAGGATCAGGCACGATCCATGGCACCGTAATAGAGGCAAATGGTACTTTGGGGCTGCCCCTGAAACAATGTACTCCTCCAGTAACACATAGCTCACACAACCTTGTTGGAGTTCAGGGCTATTGACCACAGCGAGAATCTCCATGACCTGACCAATGATACAGCTATCCTGGTTGATGCGCGCAAGAGCAAAGGCTTTCAAAGGGCAGCGCTCTCCATTGAGAGCCAGGACAGTGCTGCAGGCACGATACTGATGTCTGCACCCATCAACAATGCTATTTGGTAATGTTTGACCAGCACGTGTTGAGAGCCAGTCCAAATATTCTGGTTGACGCCATGGTGAAAGTGTAGTATATGTGCAAGCACCTGAACCATAGTAAGCTCCTGAAATCCAACAACATTGCTAGCAGACTTACCAGCTCGGAAATCCTCAGGTTCCATAAACCCGAGACATTCAGCAATGATGTTCCTGCGAGACACCCCAGGTCGACATAGAGCCCTTGGTGATGGTCCGCATTGGCGCCAGTCGCTGCTCCTATCACTAAAGAATTGCACCTTTGGTTGTGGACGTTCATCTTCACGATCACCATTATGTAGTTGGACAGGAAAATAACCACCAGACAACAGATGGCATGTACGATTACAACGTGCCAGCCCTCATCCGATATCTCGAGAAGGTGCTTGATGGTTGCTATGCACACTGTGACCCTGAATTACAGCATTGAAGGACTCAAATGACTCCATCGCAAACAAAATAGCAGGCCCAAAATGCCGCACATGTTCAGGAAGATGACGGACAATGTGAAACTTCAGTTTATTAAACCAGCGAGGTGTCCAGCAAGCCGTACGTGTTAGAAAAGTCTCAATCGACGTCTCCATTAATTTCTAATCACATAGTGAGCAAAGAGTCATTGTTTATGTCAAAAACCAACCAGATGTGTGTCAATGTCTTCAATTACTGGTTGCCAAATTATCGGAACCATGTCACTCAAGGCAACCCATGCTTCATAGCATTCAGCCAGCACCAGGTCAAACAGCACAAAAGGCGCCACTTGTGCAATAACCCAGAAGTCTCGGCCAGTGAGAGAGCCACTGTATTTGACCAGCATCTGTCCAGAAAGAGGAGGTACACCCAGTCCAGTAACATCGAATGAATTGAGGCATGTTGTGAGTAGCGCTTTCTGGTCATCATTCAAACGAGCTATAGCATCTCGCCAAAAATACTTGATGAAGCCCAGCAAAATAACGTGAAGAATTTCAATGGGTGTGTCTTGATGTGGATCCAAGCCTGCACATGAAATCAGTTCAATCATGATCAATAACACGGCAACCAGACAATGCATACCTTTGATTCTCCATATGGGACTATAAGGAAACAATAGAATGTCTCTTTCAATCATCTGTCACACAGCTTCTTCCTTCCCTTGGCTTGTTCCGCAAAGTTTGGCCATGTACGAATAGATCGCCGCCAGGAAGAACTCTAAGTGGTTGTCTTTAACCCTCGTCTCGGTCTTTCTGGTATTGTGCCTTGTTTTCGCACCAACCTTAACCGCATCTTCAAAGCTAGACTTCAGTGTAATTAGTGTTTCTGCTTTCAGCCATGGAATCATTGGCTGTTAAAATGAATTGTTATGCCCAACCTGTCTCTGAAAGTCCAAGATGACTCACCCCTAAGAAGCGAGTCGCACGGTCAACAAGTTCAGAAAGGGTCTCTTTATGCCGGCGACGTGTTGGCGCTGCTACTGGAGGCTGTGTCTCCACAGGTGACAGCAACCCAGGAGATGTGTTCGCTGATGGTGCTGGTCTCGCCACGTCATGTTTGGAACACTCATCAGAAGACGTGCTTGAATTTGCTGAAGAATCATAACGAGGCTAGACATTAGGTGCCCGATCAGCAGCGTCTGCACCCTTGACACGGCATACACGACAGAAGAACTTGCCCTTCAATCCAATGTGACAAGCAAACTCACTCTGCATGAGATTATCACCCAGCAGAGCGAGGATGACTGGGATGAGTAACACCATTTCCTTCACTTGTGAGTCCCATGCCCAGATTCCATTTGTATGGCCATCTCTGGTGGCAGTCAGTATCAAAGAAGTGGCATTGAACTCCAAGCACTGACTCTAACTGAGTAACGATCCCATCAAGCATCTCCAAGGGGGGGGCTAGATTTGATGTAGCTACGAAATGGATATTGCTTTCCTCCTGGACCATACGACGAGGAAGGCCAGCTGCAGTGAACAAGAACGAGTTGTGCTTGTTCCACTTTTTTGATACGTTTCCGGAGGTGTCATCACAGTAGAGCCACATTGCGAATGTCAGGACGCAATGACCCTTTGCTTTGGCATGCCACTTGTTGCCAATGTCAGGATCAGTGTGCTTCCACAGCGAAATACCTCTGTTGGTGGTAAGGATAGAACCTAAACATGGATTTAGATACCACAGCAAGTGAAAAATCAACGATGCTACACACCAATAATGTTGCAAGGATCTGAGATACCATCTGATTGATAGACAGCCAACAGGTGGGGAAATGAGAGTAGTAAATCAGCGGCCGCAACTTCAATGACACTGCATTCATGAACAAGGTACCCAGTAGCCATAGAATCTGATACCACCGGCACAAGAGGCCATGCCTTGGCAAAGAATAACTCTTGTCCATTTATTGTCCGTGTGAACCAGTGATGGGGTATAACAAGGCTACCATTTTTCAGCTTTGTAGGCTCAAAGATGTAGAAATCCTGGGCTCCGACTCGAAGCATAGGTGTCGTGAGGGATGTGTCCATCTCATTCAGCCAATGTTGGCCTTGCCAACATTGCTCCAATCGATGCCCAGCATCCTCGGGATAATGTCGAATGTGAGGCCGTATTCGCGGATTGGCCATTTCCTGCCAATGGTGCGTCAAAATCTAGAATTCATAGGTATGCTATTGCACTGACATACCTGGGCAATAATAGCTGCAAGATCATTGGTATAGTACACATTACCGAGGGGTCCTCGGTGTCGAATTGTATCAACACCGCACCTTCATTGAAGGTTGTCATCGATCTCCTTCATGGTCTTCTCAGAAGGTAGGTTATCAATGTCCATAATGGCCATCGCCCAGATGATTATCTCCATTTGCTTGTCAGAGAATATTGTACGAGGTATATGTCATAAGATATCAAGTATGCATGTCTATAGTCTGGTCAGTAAGGCGACGTGACCAAGACATACGACAGAGATCACACACCACTTTATCTGCCCAAGGAGTCCAATTAGGGTCTTCCTGATCTTCATCTCGTCTTCGCTTTTGAGGTCGCTGTGCACCGAACCCAAGAGAATCATCTTGACAGGCAGTACGTCAAGTTGGAGGAAATAGAAGAAGATAGATGCCAACCTTCGACTGGAGAAGCCGGAACGAAACCTTCCTCCTCTGAATGTTCCTCTAATTCACAATCGGAATCTTCATTTGCAATGTCTGGCCCATTACTGAGCCATTGCTGCAGGTCAGAAATGAGGTCTACAGCTGCATCACGACGGATATTCAGCCGTGCTCTGGAAAGCGATGCATCCCAATCCAGTTCAACTGGAGTATCAACATCATCGAAAGGTGCTGATGGTGCAGTGTCGACACCAGTAGGAACTGGTCCCGATGGATCCAAAGAGTTGAAATCATGCAGGAGTTCACCAAGGGGCCCAACAATATTTGGTTGCGCCACAGAGACGCTGCTGCTCGGTGGACCAGACAAGTGCTCTGCCCTTCGGGAGTTGGCATGACGAACAGACCTTTGATGTGATTGAGAGTCCTCGTGTCTCAGAGCATGTCAGAACTCCCTCCAGTTTTTATCATTGCACAAACGGCACGACCATAAGCCACGATTGTTTCCTGTCCCACTTTGCCAAACTATCAAAGATATGAGTATCACGTAGTGTTCAACAACTTTCATTTTACGTACACGAAGGATCTCTGAAGGTTTTTGCGTTTTGAGACATGCTGGAGCGAAGAGAACCAATGACCGTAAACTTAGGAGAGCAGCGGTATCGCCCGGAAATAGGAGGTAAGTCAACGGAAAATGAATTTGCTGGCGTTCGGAAGGATACTAATAATTTGTGTCGTTCTGCAGAAGGACTGAGAGCCTTAGAAAAGAAGGGGATGCATCTGGAGAGTAAAACGTGTATCAGAATATCATCTAACATACAGCTACTGCACATGCACCATGAGCATTATGCATACTTCTTCAAAGCTAAGTCTCCCACAAAGATAAAGGTCTTGCCGTATAGTACTGGTTGAGACTCGGAAAAACTGGCAAAGGCACATTAGTTCACTCTGCATTGTACAGGCTCAGATGCAGGAGGGCACGCCCGAGAGATGTTGATTGAAAGAATTGTAATGATTTTCACAGTACAGGAATTGCTATAGAAGTCTATTGAATGAAGAGTATACTAGGAAGCAGACGATATAATAATAGGCAGCAGTACATGGTGGGTGTTGCGACACGTTGTCGTTTGATCCTGTTGCAGGGTCTTATTTGGCTGTGTTGACCAGTTCCAACTCCAACCTAGCTTAGGTATGGGCGAAGACGGACTTAGGGTTTACCAGACTCGTTCGGGCTTGGATTCACACTCAACCTGGAGGAGCATTCCTGCAGGGACTTGGTTCATTTCAGTCCGACTCTGTTCCAGACAAGCCTCTGGCCGTGTATCCTTGGACCAAATGATGCTCTCCCAGTTTGGCCAGCATCGATGTTTCGTTGAATGGTTCTGCCCAGAGATGCCTGTAGAGACCATGCAAGAGATTAACTAGGAACATGACCACCACTAGCTTCAGTCTCATCCAGACAGGAGCAATATGTTGGAACACTACACCAGAACTAGAGATGAAGGCAGTGCAAAGCAGAAGCTCAGGAGAATTCAGAGCGTAGTCCCATGAGACGAACTGGGGATACATCCCGATGAGACTACTATCTCCAAACCCCCATCCATAGAAGCGCCAGTATGAGTGATGACCATCAGACCACCATGGATGCATGACTGTGATGTCTGGTGTGGAATCGTCTCTGCTTTGTTTCCTTTCACAAGGAAAGTATCATTGTAGTCGATCGCAAGGATGATCTTGATACCGAAACTCGTCGGTGTCTGGGAGGAAAACATCTTGCCAAGTAGTCCACACCAATGAATCAGCAAGATTCTCGGTACCCAACCAAGGTCATTCCAAGGTTCATTTACCTTGTCTTCTCCCACAGATGGGCCTTATTCCTGTGCTCAGTTCCTGAAAATCATAGAATTCAAGGCCGGTTTCACTTACCTCCACAGCAAATGGATCTGGCTCAAGAGCGAGGCAGGCGTAAACCTCAGCAAGGGCAGTTTTGTTCTGATTTCCAAGTTCAGTGTGGTAAACAACGATGTCGAGCTGAGTCATAATATTCTGAAGAGAAATAAGTCAGTCAGTGTGGATGCATTGATGAGCCGGGCACATACCAATTGGCAAGAAGCTGTATGCTTGAGAAAGTGATCAGACTGGAAGCCGAGTTTTGTGGGGGATGGTCCGGAGTATCACCCATTTATGGCAGTGGGCACCTAGTGGTGGCAGTGGGCTCTTTTGGTCTCGTGCTGGAGCATTGGTAGCGCTAGCATGTGTGACAAGCCAAGAGTTTGGAGAGCATTGGGATTGATATGTAAATAATATTATATTAGAGGTAACCGACTACTATTACAACTGTGATACCTTAAAGGCAAGACTCTAGACATCAAGGGTAGATGAGACACATGAGGTACTAAAATTTAAAAGAGTGGGGCCAAAGCCATGATACATTGAAGAGAAGAGTCCAGAAGATGACTAGCGAGACAGGTTGGGTTAGCTCATTGATGTCAAGTGATCTTGCTCAGAACAGTGAGGTGCTTGTAGAGGTTGCTACAGCCATGGTGGTGGGTGGTGTGGGGTGCAGTTAGGAGCGGCGAAGAGGTGAAGGGAGAAAAGCAATGATAGGGCTGTCATTGTCATGACAATGGTATCTGGTGTTGAGCTTCAGCCACAAAATCCGTCAACCAGCGAGAGTGTGGAGGACAGTTGATCCTCGCCAATGATGTCGAGCTAGGAAGACAATGACAGGGCTGTCATTGTCTGAGGGAATAACAGTATCTGGCATCCATCGTCGAGGTGTAGCATTGAGGAGCTATGTGCAAACAAGGGAGGCATGGAGGTTGATGCTCACCGATGATGTTGAGCAAGGAAGACAATGATGAGGCTGTCATTGTTCGAGGGTATGAGGGATGTACGTAGCGTCTGTCATTGAGGTTCATGTTCAGCATTGAGGAGGTATTCGTAAAGGATGCGAGGCGTGCAGGACAGTCAAGGAATCAGAGGGGGAGGAGAGTAAATCAACGAATGGAAGGTCAATGTGGTGGTGGAAGAAAGACCCCAGAGACTAGTGAGATCCGTTGGATAGATCGGTCAACGGTTTAGGAAGTAAGTCAGTCATATGGTGAGGGAGGGAAAAAAAGGCAGAGCTAGGGAGGTTTTGAGGAGTATTGAGTGGTAATGGGTAGCTGGAAGAAACTGGGGAGGAAGAGGTGAGATCGGTTGCATAATACCAGGGAATACCAGTGAATACCTGGGAATACTTGGTATTACTCGGTAATACTCGGTAATACCTGGTATTCAGGTGAAAATGCATAGAAAGCATATTTTTGTCCCTATACCAGCACCATAATGACTCATTCACAGTTATACTTGCCCACTATGAGGATCAGCACGATGATATCTTGTCATTGTGGCAGCGGCGAGGCTATAAGGGAAGATATAGGGCAGGAAAAGCAGACATCAGGATAAGGAGCAGTTACACAAAGGTGATGGTAACGGTGTTGGGGGGATAAATGGACTAGGTGGATTGTATGGCATGTAGGAACTTCATGCTGGATAGCGAGAGGGTGGGCAGCAGCAGGCGTCACCCTGATCACATAGCCATGGTTCTTGATGAGTTTGTCATTGGTTGCCAGATAGCATGGCTGGGACTTAGCAGACAGTAACTGGCAAGGATGCTGGCAATGAACATATTGATGGATAATGTGATTTAGCCAGAATTCTAGAATTGTGGGAGAGAGAAACTTATGCCACCCTCCAGACACGAATCCGTAGTCGCCATCTGCTTTCCCTGCATACAGTGTAGGACTGGTCCATGAGATGCTCAAATAAAGAAATGCAATGGAATAGTATTATTTCTATTTTTTTCCTGATCAAATGTTGTCGGCAGAACCAGCCTGGCTAGATGAACAAGATTACACTATATCCAGGAAGGTTTAGGATAGAAATGTACCATGCTGAAGGTAATCAGTGTGAAAATGGCTTATCAATCGAATCCTACTTGATGAGACACCCCAGCAACTTAACGGCATTTGCTCGATATGATAGGTGATCTTATCTCTTTACTCTCTCTTTTCTTTTTCTTCAACAGAGTCCTCAAAAGTGGGCTTATAAGGATTTCAGATGCTTTAGAGAAGCCACATAAATCTTTGTGAACTTTTTTAAACTTGAGGATAGGCAAGGAAGATAATGCCAAGGTCAGATCTGGTCAGCTTCCAAATATGGTAAGGCCTGATTCATGAGAACTACCAGCTCGTCTTCACATTTCTCGGTGTCTGCAAGAATATATGGATCCAAAGTAGCACCATATTAGTTTGAGGAACTGTATCAATAGCTATATGTAGTTTTACTGCCATTTGAACCTGATTGGAGGCCAAACAACCCTAAAACTGTCTCATCTTCACCAAAAAATATACACCCCTCAGCCTCTCAAAGCAAAATTGGCATCGGAATCTCATGGTTATTATACAAATATGGACTATGAAGAGATATGAGCAAAGTCCGAAGCCCGTGGCTGCATGAGGAAGGAATCTGAGCCAGTGTCTCATTGACCAGTCCTACACTATAGTGCTTAATTCTTGCTCCTGAGTGGCCACCACGGTAGTGCTCTGCTGGGAAGTACGATATGTCAAGCAGTATAGGAAGCTTCTTTGTCATCAGCTGACCTGTAGACTTTGTAGGATACGCAGATCAAGGTCACAGGTCTCACTCTTGAGAACCTGTATATGGAGATCTACGTTAAGACTACAAAGAAATATATCAATTTTAAAAGTTGCAAGGTTGATTCACAACCTTCGTCCTTCCCAAAGGCACCCGGTTGTCCAGTTAACCAGTTTCTTGAATATCCACACAAGCAGACCAATGAGGGAGTCAGTGAGGGAGTGCCCCATCGTTGAGGCTATGTGGGGTGTTTCAATTAGGCAGCCTTCGCCTTTCATACGGAATCACTTATTGGGAACGCTAGGCTCAGAACAGCAAAATGAGCAAGAGAAAAGAGAGTATATATCCATTGCAAATGAGATGGTGTATACTACATGAGTACAGTCCTTTTATATGACAATTCTGGCGAAGAGCCACAGGTATAAGCAACGAATGCATACAACTACTAATGAGAGAACAACGAGATGTTAACAAGCGGCAACTGCAAAGACAAGCGTCTCCACAGCTAATGATCAGCGCCATCGCTTGGTGACAATGTGAGCTCGAATATCAAACATCACTGGCTTTCATGTCAGTGTATGGCATAATGAGATGGTGGAGATCTAGGAGCAGCTCGTAGATGTAGTGGTGGGCCATTGCAGCCCATGGCATCTTCGAGTCCTGCTAGGCATAGGGAATTTTCTTCTCGTCGCTTGATATATGACATGATCTGAGTTGTCCATTTCAGTCAGAACAAATTTGGGATATTACTCTCTTTTTGAGGAAGAATTTAGCACATGTATTTGTTTTTGCACAGATACATTATATTATTCAAGTTTTCCCAAAACCTGAGTGAACCTATTATGTATGATGCTACGGATCATCTTATCTACATACATCAGTCTCTCCCATTGACTAACATGAAGAATGGGCTTGTTTCATGGGTGTGACTAGTATATCAAATGGGGTGCTTCAACATTCTGAAATTTGAATGATATGTGAGGGAGAAAACAGGAGAGGAAGAAAAGAACAGTCTCACGGAACACTACGACCCATCAATTTGAAAGCATGAGGTACTATGGCACTTTGGGATATCATGGAGGCCATTAGCATCTACACAACAGAAGATGGCCAATATGACGACCGTGCGCAAATACCAGAATCTGGGCCAGAGATCATTTTGGATGTCTCACATCCCATTGTAACAGGGTAAGATTGATGAGTGATAGTCTAAGCAACAAGGACACCAAAGTGAAGTCCGACTGTAAGCCAAGTAACCAATAGGCATTCTTTGTTCCAGGGAAAATAGTCATCCTGGTAAAAGAGCCAAAACTTTTTGCTGTATGGGTTAATTACAGATGAAGTATCCTTTCATGTGTAAAGCGCACCATTCAGAACCTCCATCACAGTAGCCTCAGGTGTAAAGAACCTACCTTAAGGAAGGCCTTCACCCTGAGAATAGAGCACGACTGGCATACATTAGCCAGAGTGCATAGAGCCAAAGACACAGCATCAAGGTAAAATTAAAGGTTAAGAAGTGCATAAGTAGCTGTCCTGAAGGCATAGGTAAACAGAAAATAAGAAATGACATATTGAACTGGTACAGAATATGTATCCCTTACATCAGGGTTCAGCAATGCCAAAAGATCTAAGGGAAGATATCAGAAGGATGAATCCATCATCAAACAACGTACAAACGCCGCTCTGTTTCTTTATCATCAAGAGCATGCTTCAAAGTTGCCAGGTGGAATGTATCATTGCATTCCACCAGTATATTGCATTCTGCCAGTATACTGTACTATCTCGACATGATTATCACTTCATTCACCAAGAGATGATGTAAAATTACCATATATCGGCACCAGCAGAAATTCTACCATTTTAAGCACTACCTCTGAGAAGGCTTGTTATGCAAAGTTACAAAATACCAGGAGCTTCACTTCATGGGGTCCTGTTATGTGTTATGTGAACTAATGGTCGAAACAGCCCAGTACACCTGATGCAAAGACACCAAATGCGTTGTTGCATACACGTCTTGCGCTCTGATATGTGCATGACCCTGCACTAGGCTGTGGTATAACATGCTCCATAAGAGAAAGTATCGGAAGAAGAAATGTGCTGCAGTCACATGGGATCCGAGTTTGGAAGGTAGTGCAGTGGCTGTGAAGGAGTCAGAATATTTTTGTGCATGTAACGATTTGGTAACGATCCCCTCTATCACCATCTTTTCAATACTGACGCTCTCCCTCATCTGCAGCTTTTGAGTGTCCACATGGAACAGGATTGATTGGGAGAGCATATTTCTATGGCATGTATCAACACATGAACAGCAAGTCTAGCATGTTGGGATATTTGTCAGATGCATAAACAAAATCCAGATGGTACGTGTTACTATGTTCATTCCCCTTTTTATTGTTGATACTAAGTCAAGTAGTTTGTTTTTGTAAGCGCTGGGGGCTACCGAGGCAAGTCAACCACGATAGCAAATAGTAATTCACTGTCAGGGTTGGTTTATTTCCTTTTTTTTCACATAGATCTGACGACTTGGCTTTAGTCCATACCCACTGCTAATGAGGACCAAACTGTTGTGAGAAGTGTTGACAAGGATGGAGGGTTCTTGGTGCATGTATTGGCATTTGGGACAAGAGGGTCTACTTGCCATTCCCTTCCCTTCGACCTTCTCTTCACACAGGCCATATACATGCCAAGCACTCGACTGACATCTTATCTACCGATTTCATTCATGTAGCAGAAGTCTTCTCTTGGTTCTTTTTTCTCTGATGTAGTCCCTTACAGTGTGTGGAACATCATCATCGATGAGCCCAACTTGAACCCATGGCAGGTGATGTTGACCTCGGAATCTATAACCTCAGTTCCCTTCTGAACACATTCATTCTCACTCATTTAACATACCAGTAGAATATCGCTGGAAATTTATACCCTGAAATGCACTCTCACCCACAAGAAACCTCCACAGGAGCCCTACACAATTCCCCAGTCAATCCAGACGCCTCTCAATTGGGTCCCACTCATCATCATTGATCTATCCAAATTCAATGAGTCCAAAGGTAAACAGGATCTTGTGGTTAGACTCAAGGACGAGGTGAAAAGCTGGGGTTTCTGGACCATGGTGGGCATTGGCTTCACTTAGGGTTAACTAGGTCACCAATTTGCCATTGAGAATACATTTCTCAAGCTTCCACTTGAGAAGAAGAGACAGTTCAGTTGGGAAGCGAGTCTCCTTCATTGCTGTTAGCAGTATTTTGAGGTTTATTTGCTGCCTGTTTAGTAAAATATTTTGGGTACAGAGAGACAACATGATTTGTCAATCACTCAGTTGTTAAAGAGGATCAAGGAATGCACCAATAATATATACATATATGATGCAAGAATTTGATAGGTGCCTGCACGATATAGTTGCATCACGACGCAACAAAGCCCTGCAACTGCTGTTTGCTACCATTACTTACGCTATCATAACATCTAAAGAAAGAGGTATAATGTCAGTTTCAGAGTTTCAGACAGGCTTAGAACAAAGTGGTGAGTGTCTCAAGTGATAAAGGTGTCAACGGCAGGGTCCAAGCTGATGGCCAGGAAACAGGGTTAGCTCATGACTCAATATCTATCACCTTAAGGCTTGTCATTATGTCATTTCATTGCACATCATGCCACAGGTGGCATCTCTATATCGTGCCAGTGTTTGAACCTCATGTCCATGTTGTCAATTATTTGTATCTACATAATGTGATACTTCATCCAGGAGTGTGTAGCTGCTCCAGGCAGATGATCCAAACCATTCAGATGATTGTAAATGACTTACCAGAATATCAGCCTATTATCTGTATTGGCATCTGTCACCCCAAAATTACCCTAAAAGAAATCAAGTTCAATTCCTAGAAATGGATTATGGATCCTGTAAGATTTATGTTATATATGATGTCTCCCATTCTCTCAAGACACTAATTTTGGGGCTCCTGGGTTGTGGGTGGGCTTGCTCTTTTATGATGAATCCAACTAGCTGGATCTGATCCATCGGGTTGATTGATCACTCTTCGATCAAGGGACTTCCCATGTGGCTGAATTGAGAACCACCATCTGCATCCTGCATAATTGAGATTTCCTGTTCTCTGCGCTAGCATATCTAACATTATATTTACAGTATTCCATAGTTTTATATCTACAGAGTCAGTGTCAGTAAATGGAGTCTTTTTTTGCCACCGTAAGAAGAAGCAAAGTGGCTATGCTGCCGGTGGCTCAAAATTAAGCAGCCCGCATCTCAGAAGCAGATTCCAAAGTCTAGAGTGTGGAAAACTTTATTTCATATGAGTCATTAAGTTTCGAATGCAAAGGATTGTGGCTGTGAGGTTGCCAAGTATCCAAATGGTAGATACGTCTCTCGAGAAACTAGTGCTCTAGCATACAGACACATATAGGACAGAGAGCTCTTCTTACCATCAGCACATATCCTCCTGCCCAGAAGGGTTGGGTTTGTAAGTGTCTCTAAGATCATCATTTCTGTCCAAGTCCAATAATTTGGGTTGGACCTCCTGACATCCCAAATTCCGTCTCTGTAGAGATCATCATTTCTGTCTACCTTCATTCACTCAGGTTGGACCCGATGCCCTGATGTCCCAAGTCCCAAATTCTGTCTGTGTAGACTACCGCTGTCTTCTCCACGTGCGACCTGGATGTTGCAGCAAAGTCGATCCTGACAGCTGGAGTCACTATGCATCAGACGAATCCTGGCTTATTTTTTGAAGTAGTAGACATCTGAGTTGTTCAATTGACAATTTTGCCAGCAACATCTGCTTGACTATTAGGCCACGAGAAAAATCTGAAAGTTGGTGAAATGATTGTTTATAATCTCAAAAAACTCCTGTTGATTGTTTTGCAAGATGGGGAAATATGCTTGGCATTGTGGTGGGGCCATGGTGTCCTGCCAAACCTTTGCTGCAATTGCTGCATTCTATCTGAATAAGCCAGGATTCGTCTGATGCATAGTGACTCCAGCTGTCAGGATCGACTTTGCTGCAACATCCAGGTCGCACGTGGAGAAGACAGCGGTAGTCTACACAGACAGAATTTGGGACTTGGGACATCAGGGCATCGGGTCCAACCTGAGTGAATGAAGGTAGACAGAAATGATGATCTCTACAGAGACGGAATTTGGGATGTCAGGAGGTCCAACCCAAATTATTGGACTTGGACAGAAATGATGATCTTAGAGACACTTACAAACCCAACCCTTCTGGGCAGGAGGATATGTGCTGATGGTAAGAAGAGCTCTCTGTCCTATATGTGTCTGTATGCTAGAGCACTAGTTTCTCGAGAGACGTATCTACCATTTGGATACTTGGCAACCTCACAGCCACAATCCTTTGCATTCGAAACTTAATGACTCATATGAAATAAAGTTTTCCACACTCTAGACTTTGGAATCTGCTTCTGAGATGCGGGCTGCTTAATTTTGAGCCACCGGCAGCATAGCCACTTTGCTTCTTCTTACGGTGGCAAAAAAAGACTCCATTTACTGACACTGACTCTGTAGATATAAAACTATGGAATACTGTAAATATAATGTTAGATATGCTAGCGCAGAGAACAGGAAATCTCAATTATGCAGGATGCAGATGGTGGTTCTCAATTCAGCCACATGGGAAGTCCCTTGATCGAAGAGTGATCAATCAACCCGATGGATCAGATCCAGCTAGTTGGATTCATCATAAAAGAGCAAGCCCACCCACAACCCAGGAGCCCCAAAATTAGTGTCTTGAGAGAATGGGAGACATCATATATAACATAAATCTTACAGGATCCATAATCCATTTCTAGGAATTGAACTTGATTTCTTTTAGGGTAATTTTGGGGTGACAGATGCCAATACAGATAATAGGCTGATATTCTGGTAAGTCATTTACAATCATCTGAATGGTTTGGATCATCTGCCTGGAGCAGCTACACACTCCTGGATGAAGTATCACATTATGTAGATACAAATAATTGACAACATGGACATGAGGTTCAAACACTGGCACGATATAGAGATGCCACCTGTGGCATGATGTGCAATGAAATGACATAATGACAAGCCTTAAGGTGATAGATATTGAGTCATGAGCTAACCCTGTTTCCTGGCCATCAGCTTGGACCCTGCCGTTGACACCTTTATCACTTGAGACACTCACCACTTTGTTCTAAGCCTGTCTGAAACTCTGAAACTGACATTATACCTCTTTCTTTAGATGTTATGATAGCGTAAGTAATGGTAGCAAACAGCAGTTGCAGGGCTTTGTTGCGTCGTGATGCAACTATATCGTGCAGGCACCTATCAAATTCTTGCATCATATATGTATATATTATTGGCAGTGAAACAACCTTCCATTGTAACTGGTTCTCAGAAACACTCCTTGCCAAGAAGTTGACTGCTCAAAGCTTAGATCCATCCTTTTTTCTGGGGCTGCACAGTGTGCTGGTCCATTATCCACCAGATGATTCCTATCTCTGAAGAAGTCGGAAAACTTCTGAGTCTCTTGATATGATACTCTTCAGTCGCATAGTTGCTCTTGAGCAATCCCACTCAACATAATATTGCCTTAACTGATAACGTTCTCTGCTTTTAGTATCATCTTCAACAGCCTGAGGTCTAGTTACCATCAATATTGAATTGGATTCTTCCTTTCAACCAGGATGTCCATGCCTGCGTTGATCTGCATCAAGCACCACTCCTTAGAAATTTGTATAAGATCTTTTCAGACCAATAAAGTTGTCCAAGTTTATTCGCTCTGAGAAATCTGATCAGAGTCATTGGACACTTTGTCACTTTCTGCCAATTTGTGCTTCTCATTCGAGTCATCTGCTTTCTTCCCACACCTCTATGTGATCCCATAATAACTGTCATCATGCTCCACATGCCTTCTATCATGATACCTGCTAAGCAAGTTGGATGCTTACCGTTCTACCCAGTCTATGCACTACATGTAGAAGTATTCCCCAGTAGGCAGGTAGCTAAAGACCCTATTACAGCAATTGACTATTAATGTTCAGTGTTCACTATGTCACCACATGTCATTGCGAATCCACAGCTTCTTTGAATTCATACCCTGTCATCCTGCGATCAATTAGTTTGATTTCCCCGGTCAACCGAAGCGGCTATGGACTTGGTTGAGAGCAGTTGCTGAGTCCGGATGCCCAATGTTAGTCATGTCCATCATGCAAATACCCCAGATGGCTCACGTTTTTGTTAAGAACACATCAACACAGGCATGAGGCAACTGTATCCTCCATTAAGGAGTGTCTGCCAAACATGTTTCCCTTATAACCAAAGATTCTGGTGCATTTATGCGCATCTAATCATCTTGGATTCGCATTTCATTCTTACAACAGTCATCGTCTGATGATGTCTCACTGGGGCCGCTTTTTGCCTCATAAAACATTGTAGGCTATATCAGTCTTGTTTCTCCAGACCTTTTGCCTAATGAATATGCCAGGTGCCTTATAGGCACATTGACCACTGTGCACTGTTTTCTCAAAAAAAACAATGCTCAAGTCTCGACACAGGTCCTTTGGAGAAGGGGCCAATTCTCTGCAATAACCATGGCTATACTTATGCCCAATAAGGGTCAAATTACTTTCATGTTAGAGCCAAACATATGGTATCTTTTTCAACTACTTTTATTCCTTTAGACTCACGTATTGCAGAACATACCAGTGCCCCCTATATGGGACCATGTTGGGCATCCTTGCACTTGATTCACTGTCTCTAACCGCGAGTCAGAATGAAGGGAAGGATACCCTTTCATTCAAGATAGAGGCAAGATTTGGATGTGGACGTTCCACCGGCCACTGGGTTTGGGATGTGGATCTGTAGGTACATAGGATAATCATGAATATCACACAACTGTAGCTTATTGCCTGAAGATTGAGCATCAGCATAGTATCTGCTTTGACCACAGAACAAATCTCAGGACAACCGAGACCCCCTGAGCAATGTGGTATGGATGGACAGTGAGCCAAGGAAGCCGATCTCACTTTGCTGAGTGTTCAGGAAAGGAAGGTGCGAATCCTCTGAATCTTGTGTATGCCAGACTTACAGGATTCAGTCTTCCTGAGCTTTTTGGTATGACTGTACTGTTTGATACTGACTTGCTTTGA